CTCCCCTCCCTCCCCCATCACACGTCTCCACTTGTCTAAGTTACCTACTTTCCACAAGGGCAGCTCTATTTCCAGCTCCCTAGCCTGGAAGTCTCTCTTTGATACATGCACGACTCGCCTACATCAACCCCATCCACTTGGCCTGCTTATATTAGACGTACAAGTACTACCATGATGACCACCACTTCCCACGATTCTCCTCAGTATTCGCCTTATTGCTTACCCTCCTTCCGCCCTGTCTCTTTCCAAAGGCCACAGCCTCAGCCTCAGTCTCTGTCTCTGTCTCTGTCTCAGCAAGAAGCCCCATACCTACATTACTCCAATATCAACAACGTAACATACGACCTTGACTTTTTCAACGTCGACAACATGGCCGCCGCAACTGCTAGTCACAGACGCCCCCATCAAGACGACTCCAGCGTCGCGCAGGCTCTTGAGATTGCTCGTGAAAGCCCTGATGGCTCATCAGACCCTACTATCAGCAAGATACTCGAGAGTGCTCTGAAACGAATCTGGTTCAAGGTGGAAATGCAACCCGACTCATATGTCATGACTCGAGATGAGTTCGCTGTCTTCAACTTTTTTCAGGACCGCTTCATCAACAGCGTCCACACCAAGAAGGCAGTGGACGCTCGAAAGCGATACTGGGACAACACTCATGCTTGATCGCCCACCGGGTCTCGTTGCATAAGACGCCTTTGTCTTCCGCATCCTTTGTTCTACTCTTCTACAAATGAAGGGCTTCTCTTGCGCATTGGGCGGCATAATACAGCTACACGGCTGAAGGATTATGAGAGACGAATTTTCTTTCCCTTTCTTACCCAACGAAACGCGACACCGAAGAGCCAGCCAGGGTTCCGCCTACACCCTTGCGCATATGAATATCCACAGACAACACGGCTTGGCCCAAACTGATGCAAACATCCGAATTTCCGACTCACTGCCCATTGATGCCTACTGCTCAGCGAAGTGGGCAAATTGATAAGAAGCGAGAGCTGAAACTTGGGGCCCGTATCAAGGACTCAAGTCCACTGCAGAAGAGTGAGGCTCATGAGCCACGAGGGAAATAAGCCAGTAGTCTGTCCCTTCTTCGCCTGGAACACTGGTTTCCCACGGTGTCTTTCAGCGACTCGTTGATGCATTCAAACTCTGCAAGCCAATGATGCCATCCGCAATGTCAAGTCATGTTGGCCAACTTGAACGGACAAGACAATGAAAGAATCGACGCCACTCACTGGGCAGCCCTGGATGATCCGCCACAACGCTCCAAACCCTGGTTCCTGAGCCCGTTAACTGAGTGGGTCTTGCCAACATCTACCAGTATCGTTCACATGGCGCCCCGCTATTCTGTTCCTTGTGGCTTCAATCTCCGAGTTTCTCTCTGATGGCTGGCGTTGTTACCGTTTCCAAATACCTACACATGCAACCCAGTCATCCTGACACTTCTCGCAGGGCTGCAGAACCAGAACCTCGTCGTGCAGTGACGAGGAGTGGCGCGGCTCTCCAACCTCGGGCTTGTGTTTGTTTCAAACTTCTTTCACAGCCAACCTGACTCGTCAAAGTCTAGCCCTCGTTGCATCGTCTTAAAACCATGAAGGATAATTCTAGCATCCACTATTTAGTCATTGCGAACTCTGTTCCTGACTCGCTGGCTCTTCGTATCCTTCACAACCGACACTTGTTCAATCCTTGATATTGTGGTATATCTCCTTGTTCGGCATCGCTCCTAGGTTCTCTGGCCTTTGCCGAACTCTTTCTTCTCTGGCTGCTGGCAGTCTCCCGTATGTTTGAAGTCGCTGCACGTACTTTCTCCCATTCTTTAATTTTTTTGTCGTGCTATGTGGTTCATTACCCTTTGGGTTATGTCGCCGTAGTCGGCAATTTTTATCTCTGTATTTTTTTTATCATACTTTTTTCGCTATTTGTTATGTCGCAAAATGCTTTGTACTATAGATATACCAGTAAGCATCTTAGCTATTCGTGTTTGGATTTATGTGTATATAGAACAATTTAGGGGATTGTGCTCTATTCAAAGGGACCATCTTATTAACTTTAATTTGCCCAAGTTGAACTCGTACAGTCATGTTATTATGTTGGTGCATCTTGTTCAATATGACGAACGATCAAATCCCTTAAAGTTTGCTTATCACCACTGGAGGAATATGGAGGGTGTAATTTAATCAATGGGAGCAAACTGGCTCGGACAGGGATATGAATGCGCGAGCGAAGAACATTACGCAGCATCAAACTCAAACGAATGACCTTATGACAGCATAATAAACGTTGAGAGTTAGTCGTGTTGGGTGTTGTGTCTTTGAGTTTGCCCTTCCATCACTAACTCTCGATAGTTCGTCACTAGCATCCGGGTGCAGCACACAGCATACACCGTTATAACCATCCATGGATACCTGGTACTTACGTGGCCAGCAAGGAGTTAACGTACTCGCCATTCTGTAGACCAGCATGAATGTGCTAGAATAGGTACGTTATGCTAAATGGGCATGTCATTAACATGTCATCTAATTCAAACGCCATCTAAAGCCCACGTATAGATCTCTGAAATATCGTTAAAGTATGAGGTCTATCTTTAACGGCGGTAACGGCGGCAGCGGGAGCAGAAGCCCCGCCGTTATATCGCCCGTGATCTTAGGCTTGGGCGTTGATCAGGCATCTCTGCCGTATTTCGCAGTGTTGGCTAGAACGTCCCACAATCGTGGCCATGATCAAACCTTGTGAATGCCGTGATCCACTGAGAAGTGCTCGAGAGACCGCCCATTATTAATGAGTTTTCTCATAAAGTATGTACCTTTGGAAGACTGTTGCAAGTGGAGACCTATCTTGGGTAAAGGTGTGGTGAATCTTGCGGTATCTCTCAGGCTACTCTAGGCAAACGTTTGTAAGGGAATGGATTGTTATGAGGCGTTTCACTTCAACATTACCTAAACCCGCCAGAGCCATATTCGCTGCCTTGGGATACATGTTCCCGGATGACGATGCGTAGGCCGATTCCTATACTCTGGCTCGGACATATTGTACGAAATCATAAGGGATCAGCATTAGAGGCTGCCGCGAGGCCTCAAACTCGAGTCCACAAAGGGGAGCTGAGCGTTTGTACAACGCCGCTTCAATAACGTCGCGCCACAAGATTGCCCTTTTCAGAGCCCAGGCATCCAGATACGGGTTGACGCTCTTGGAGCAACGTCTTGGTAGTATTACCCCCAGAGGAGGAGGGTGCACCAGGAGCTCTAGTAGTGTGCGAGACTGAATAAGGAACAGACCTACCGGTACTGGTAGCTCACTTTTTGAGCCACCGATGATCCTCTTTGCACCCTTTGATGGACACGATGAGCAGCGGCCGCTTGGCTGATTGCTTGAAGATGTCGGAGAAAGGACGTTGTAGCGCTCGCGCCAGGAAAGTATATCTCCAGACCATTAGCAGGCCTGAGCCAGACAAACTTAATCCCAGGTCTTGACCATCGTGATGCCCAGAATGGCGGACTTGACCTCCGGGGACCAGCAGGCAAAGCAAAGGCATCTAGGTCGAGGTGATGTGCATCAAATGCTTGGCTTCCCCAAACAATATCAAGAAGCCAGTTGAGTGAAACGATCTACTTTGGCATTCTGCACATGGGTGAAGAAAGTTACAGTTGCCCCAGTGGTACTAGATATTGTGTTTGCTTGCTGTCCGTCGCTTCCGGCACCAAGGACAGGTATTCCCGGTTTGAGACTGGGTAAGGGCACTTTTAGTTAAAACGTTTAGATCTCGAAATATCACTACCGACAGTCACGATCCCACTACGTATCGTGTTTTTATTATCTGATGTTGTGCGCGCAACACCTGTTGAAGCGTAGCGCAGAATCGAGGCTCGGGGAACACCTACTAACTTAAGATAGGGGCGTCTCAGAGCCAAGCCCTGTGCCATTTTCGTTGGCGGTGAAGCTTTTGGAGAGTCCGGGAAATCGGTAACTTGATGTTTGGAAACTCTAATACTCGGGGAAGCCTAGTAGAGCATGACGTGTGTGTATCAAGCGAGCGGTTATGGGGGTGAAGATGGGGGTTCCAGAAGACTTCCGGAAGAGGCAATGCGTGCCGATTCAAAGAGGGAAGTCAGGCAGTGTGAAGAGCATGACGGCGGAAGCGAGACCGAGCAAAATGGAATAACTAACTCGACGCTAAGCAACTAATAAGAGTTGCTTCACAGTTCACACCTCTCGTCAAAGGGCGCTGCTAGCCAACGCCCATGTATCCAGTACATCGAGTCCAAACCTGCCGTAAGAGGCCTAGAGAAAGGGGTAATGTCGAATGTGGAAAGTTCTCTGGTCCTGAGCCGTGAGTTTAAGCCCGATACGGCGGGGATGGGCATGAAATATTCCGAATCTGCGGTACGTAAGGACCCGAAAGGTTGGGCGAAGTTGCTAGTGATGCTGGCAAAACCTACATATGAGCGGCAGCTAGGTAGTCGGTCATTAGATTTCTGTTAAGTGGCCGCGGACATGACATGATTAACAAACTTTGTGGGTGAGCCCAGTGACTCGGTATGTGGGAGCAACGCCTTTTAGTGAATCGAAGCGGTGAGCAGTGACACCGCCGCGCTACTGAACCTACCAACAAGGCATGACATTTCCAAGCTGTTTCTTCAATGCCTACCTACTTATCCGACTGATGAAGTTGATGAGGCTCTTTTTTGCTGTGAATCATGACAGCGGATCTACCCAGGTATCCTGGTCCGCACAAGGGACTGACAGCTGCAGCCAGGGTGGCCTTGTCCAATAGCGAGCGAGCAGCGATGGGTGTTGCATTGAGGGGAAGAATTACGAGGGATGGATGGATGGCGTAAAGTGATGTTGACCTGGGCTGCTGCTACCAGTCAATTTGGCGCTATGCATGCCACTGCACTGACCGCCCTTTTCTAATAAACGATGTCTTGCAGCTGACCTACCTCGGTAGCTATGACATGCATCTTGGGCCTTGGTTTTTCAGATTGCCGTGAAATGTCGGGGTTCGTGATCCACTAGATAGGCACTAGATAGGTTTCGTTCAGTCTTGCAGATCCATGGAACGGCATCCGGCCCATCCAAAACACAGCGGTAGCACTTCTTTTACATCTGGGGGTATGCATGTACTGTTTCTGAATCAAGCGCCAGCCAAGCAGTCAACCCCAACGTCATGGGCAATCTAGTTACCCAGTTGGTTACTGAGTTCACAAGAAGATATGTTTGATGTTTCAACCAGCTGAGCGACAGCAAGCCCTACCCGTCTCAAGCTGAGTGAAACAGTGAAAGACACAATTCGGGCTAATAGGCGAACGTTAGACCTGAAGATGGTTTAACGGGGCAGCCAAGCCGCGAGAGCGGTGAAGGGTGCGCAGTAGCGAATTGCTTCGTTTTGTCATGCTGTGTTCATCCCATGGGTGTTTTCTCGAGCCGGCCGGTTGGAAAGGCAAAGACGCCACCGAGATTTGACAGCCAGATGGCCTTGATGGCGTAAAGATGTTTCGATGAGTCCGAGAGGATGGAAAAGCCCATGTCAGATAGCAGTGCAAAATTCAATTCAGTGGCCCAGAGTCATAATGGCTTTACGATGGCTAGCTGAAGACGGAGGATGTCGAAACCTTGCCTAAGCCATTTATTTGGCTGAAGGCGAGATTTGGTATGTATGCACCTATCCTGAGACAGGCATAGACGATCGGACGATGCTGGGTTGTGGTTTTGAGAATGATCAAAAGTTTGAGTAGCTACTAGGTAACTATACTATGCCTTGGTAGGTATGCAGATGCGCTCAGACATCGAGAACTTCAACCAATGGATGGATGGCGGGGAGGGCTGGGATCGATTACTGGGAGCGGGAGGGACGGAATTACCCTTGTTCTTGTTGCACCATGTTCGAGACTGGTGATTTAGGTAGCAGATTGATTTCTTTGGAGCTTAGTAGAATTCCTTGAGAACAGTAATAGTAGCTAATCGTTGCATCTGATGTATGATTCTGTCTTATGATCATCACCTGTCATATTCCCGAGCACGGCCACGGCACGTGTTAGCCGCCCGTAATCAATCACTTCCGCGGACTACCTGATAGTTAAGTGGTCTAGCTCTTGTCCACCTATAACTCAGCCTACCAACCTTATTTACATCTGTATACCTCCGCCTGGTTCACCTGGCAACCGTAACCACCATGATTGGTGTCATGCGACTATAGGGCACAGCACAGCATGGACTTTGTTTGGCCAAAGAATGGACCAACATGCAGAGCTTTAAGCTTTGAGCTTTGAGCTTTGCTGTGAAGATATATGAACCGCTCATTACACAGCTGTTTGAGAAGAATGCAGCAAACATATGATCCAATCGACGATTTTTTTTCCTATTCAAAGTCAGACTGGCTCAATGCCAGCGGTTATGGAATGTCAACTCTCATCTGTAGGGCATGCGTGGTTTTGATTGGTTCACGCCGAATGGTTACCGTTGGTGATGATGCAACAGAAACTTTGAATTGCTCAAACGTCTGCAAAAGAATTGTATGAGAGTCGTCTGAGAATCTGGTTTTATGTAGTAGCGTATTCGTATCGATAATAACCGGGCGGTGAGAACAAAAATAATTATGTGAGAGTTTTAAACATACATAACGTAGATGATGCCCTTGTCCCCTGCAACAGCTCAGCTACCTACCCTTGCTGAGTTTATTCAGTGTGTCAACGGTTGCTTGGGCAATGCGCCAACAACGATATAACCCACCACGACCCTATCGCCAGACGCCTCGAGCACCGCATCAAAACGACTCAACTCAACTCCACATGTAAGGTATCCTCCACCAAATATCGCAGCCTTCTGAGGTAAATAGACATCTTCATCCCCGCATTGCTCCAGCTTTGCTGTCGATCAATCATAGGTCCAGACTGCCTTTGCAAATCACCACTTCCAACACTCGGATCAACTCCTTGGACAAGGTGCACAACCATAGCGTGTGCAGTCGCTTCGGCATCTGTAATAGTGCCAGTGCCACGGCTGTTGTGCTACTACTACTGTTATACACCTCGTATCAACCTTAGCAAGCACTGCGATCCAGCATCCGTTGCCCACCATGCGATACAACCTCATCCAGATGATCCTGCGCAGCGTCGCTCTGCTCATGACACTCCTCCTAACGGCTCTCATCGGCAACGTCATGGCGTCAAATATCGACGCCGCAGGCTCTGCAACGGCTGCCGTCAACTTTATCATGTTTATTGCCATTGTCTGCTGGATCGTTTGCATCATTGGCCTTCTCGCTTTCTTTGTTTCAGCTCTCGACAAGCCACTCATGCAGCTACCATTGGATGGCATAGCTGTTCTCTTCACCTTCATCGGTGCCATTGTTCTTGCGGCAAAGCTGCGTGTCGTCAACTGCGGAGATATTAACCCCAAAGCTCTGCCTGGAGACTGGATCGCCTGGGGCTCAGGGAGTGATGAGGGGCGGTGCCGTCGACTGCAAGCAAGCACTGTCTTCATATGGTTCCTGTTCGCCTGCGTATCTGGGAGTCTCCTTTTGACCATCAGAACTGCACGCAATCAGTTCGGCTCTCTTCGCAGTGCCGCTTCACGGCCATCAATGTCTCAGATTTCTTCTAGCGTCTGATGAGCACTAAACACATCAGAAACCCATAACATAACGGCTCAGCCGTATTAATGGGGCCCGGTCATGATCTTGTTGGTTCTTTGCTCTAGTACCATCAGCGCAAGCGTCATGGCCACAAACTCTGTGGAACACGATGTATGTGCTTCCCTGAGCTCCGTTACACCAAAACCGCCCTAGGGCATCACCGACTCTTGAGTGCCGGTATCAAGTTGCATTAGGATATAGAGAGCGTTCAGCATTAAGGATTATTATACCAGGATTGTTAGATGTATTAGTATTTTGGAAGGGGAGTTGGGACGGGTAGTTTATTCAGAACAGGTGTTGGATCAAGGGCAACGATCATGCAGCAAATGAAAGTTTAATATACGGACGGCTTTGGTTTTCAGTGATATCTGGTTGTTAGCACAATGGGTTCGTGCTAGGGTCTCTTGGTTGACAGGAGGAATAAAACAAGCGTGTTTGAAATCATATATTACTGAAAGAAAGAAAACATATGCATATTTACACCCCAACACCTTATGAAAGCCATGCATATTACTCAGGTCATCCATTCATATCGAGATCGGATCGTCTGGTTCGAAGTATGTCTATAACGTTGCCGCTGTTTCCACAACGCCCGCCGCCTTGAAGGTCGCCTTATTTGTCAATCGAATATCGACGTTATGGGCCCACTCCATGTATCGTGACCAACCTAACAGCAATTGGTTAGAATACTCCTCATCTTGGATAGATGGTGATATAAGCAAGTAAACAAATTACTCACTCCAATAGGCGAATTTGCGACCAAAGTATTTACCCATCCAGGGCACAATCATCATTGTCAGTATCAACTGTAGTTGTTCGAGGCTGCGCTCCCACTCCGCTTGAGCATCAGTGTCGGAGGTATCGGAATATATGTCGTCGGTAGATATGGATGGGAGCGAGTCCAGATCGTCCTTGTCATCAGACATGGAAGCATCATGGAGGTCAACAAGGGAGGAGTCGGCGGCCATGTTGACAGTTGTTACGGGAGTAACCTGAGTACAGATTCGCTCGGCCAATGCAGCTCGGGATATGTCTGTAGGCCACAAGGCGTTGAGGATATCTTCGGAGGTCGTGAATGGCGGGTATTGGGCGTCAGGTTGAGTGGTGGTTGGCTATCAGAGTAACTTCTTTGTTCAGAGACTGCTGAGTCCTAAGGATACAGGAGTAAACGGAGACCGCTACCGTATCTTCAGATGTAATTGCGTTGCGTTGCGACGAGCAGCAATGGAACCTCCCGTCGATCGAGATGATTGATAGTCGTTAGGATGTAAAGGCCGTAGGTAGTCGCATCGGGGCCCGGAGCTAGGCTCCGACAGGAACTGGGGGAGCTCTGACAAGCTTCCCAATTGATTGGGTGCGGACCACTTTGTAAAGCATCACGTGGGTATCCCCGTGACTCCCTATCGTGAAGCTTGGGGGCCGCCTGCGCTATGGTTTGGGCTCTGGTTGACTCAAGGTATCGCTCACCCGGCCCATGACGTTGGACTGATCTCCCTCTACATCCTAAACCCACAACTAAATCCATCAGAAGAAGCATACCAACAGCGCGCGCAAACTCTGCGATCCAAGAATATAAACGATATATCATTGCGCGAGAAGCCCCAAGCCAAAGATCTTCGCAGTACCTTATACGAAGAAGCCGCCCATTTGCGACACCCACATCCAGCAAAAAACCCCAATAAACCAGCAACCGGCCATTAACGGAAAAAATCAAGAAGCAGCGCAGCCACATAGCAATCATGGAGGGCGAGGTGAGTGACAAGCCTGCAGCAAATTACACATACCTGTATAATTCCTTCCTACCAACCCTTATTGAAGAGGCTGCTGGGACATGACACGAAATACGACCTACTACATATACCTACCTACCTACCTACCTACCCACTACCATACAGGCCTGCCTGGCTTTGAGGTTCAAATGTTTAGGTTGTGCCATGCTTTTCATGGCGTGTCTTGTACCCTCTGGACCACACAGGCCCAATCTTTTACCCCTCCAAAACCCTCGAATGCCTCATCAACGAGCCTATCAGGTCCCTCTTATCGCCTTTTAACCCCCACTACGTCTTGTTGGTGCGAAAGTACCTCTGGTATTGTCGACACCACTTTCTGGAGGGAAGCAGGCGATTCGACATTGGATCGATTTATTTTACTGTCTAGGCCTTTGACTCACATTTTCCCAACCGCCACCTTCACATCATCATCTATCCTCCACAGCCACAAAAATAACACCGCGTCCCTCAATCGAATTCTTTACTAACCTCTTTATTCTTTTCGTTTTATTTACAGGTACCAACCGAACGCAAATCACGCAAATCCGTTGCCTTCACCGACGAACAAGTTGTTGTCGACGCTGACGGTTCAGTGACCATGGTTAACGCTACCGAAGAACCCAAGGATTCGGCTCAGTCCCATACGCCTCGTACGCCGCCGCTTTCTGCCGCCCTTGAGTCCTTTACTGATTCGCAAACGACAGCCGCTGAGGACCTTCCCCCAGCTGAGGATGGTGGTCTCGACCTTTCCCTGCTCAAGAAGAAGAAGAAGAAGTCAAAGAAGGTCGACGATGCCGATGCCGACGCCGACGCTGCCCCCGCTGACGATGCTACCCCCGCCGAGGATGGAGGCCTTGACCTGACTCTGAAGAAGAAGAAGAAGAAGAAGGCCCCCAAGGGCGACGATGATTTCACCAAGCAGCTCGAGAAACTTGAGCTCAAGGAGGGCGAGGAAGTTGAGGAGGTTCCCCAGGAGCAGGAGGGTGATATGAACGAGGGAACCGGCATTTGGGCTCACGATGAGACCAAGACCATCGGCTACAGCATGCTCCTTTCCCGCTTCTTCCACCAACTCACCGAGAGAAACCCCGACCACACTTCCCCGGGAACCAAGAGCTACAAGATCCCTCCTCCTCAGTGCATGCGAGAAGGCAACCGAAAAACCGTCTTTGCCAACATCGCCGACATCTCTAAGCGTATGAAGAGAACAGAGGAGCATCTTACTGCCTATCTTTTTGCCGAGTTGGGTACCAGCGGTTCCGTTGACGGAAGCCGAAGGTTAGTCATCAAGGGTCGTTTCCAGCAGAAGCAGATCGAGAACGTTGTCCGAAAATACATCAGTAAGTTTTTGCACTTTTACGACTGCGGGTTTCTGTTTGCTAATCATCGCCTCTTTCAGTCGAGTATGTCACCTGCAAGACCTGCAAATCTCCCGACACCGAACTCAACAAGGGTGAGAACCGTCTTTACTTCATCACCTGCAACAACTGCGGCTCCCGACGAAGTGTTACCGCTATCAAGACTGGTTTCTCCGCTCAGGTCGGCAAGCGAAGAAAGATGCAGGGCTAAGCTTCTCTACGATCTTCTCTTCCTTTCGATACTGCCCCGCCCGTTGCCAACAAAATTCTTGGCCTGTAGTTTTGGGGAGGGCATATAGCTTGGCAGTGTTCAGTTCTAACTATGCAGTTGAGTCTATGCTGCAAATGAGCGGCTTCTTTCTTCAGCTGTGTAGTCTCGATGACGGATGCATTTTTTGGGTTTTGCTCTAGGCATTGCCAATGGCCGCCTATTCCGCAAATTATGGTCTTTGGGGTCAAAAGGAGTGATGCTGGACCGTACAACGGGTACCGGGCTGATGATGTGGCGTATGGATTATGTACATGATGCCGAAATGAATCAAGACTGCAGCCAAAACCACAAGTCGCTTATACAGGAGTGACAGCAATGAAGATGCGTATTTAAATATGTTGAGTACCATGGTTTTATAAAGACGTGAGGTAGGTGTGTACACAAAAAGTATGCAAATATATTACATACCGAAAGGTCTTTATTAACGCAAGAATGGCGTATTTCACACGCCTTGATGTGGTAATCCTACCACGAATTCACCCCTTACTCCTATCTCTGGAAATTTGAGAACTAGTATTCACACCACTAGGGTGTGAGAAACAGCTTGTACATAAAGGAGAAGCTCTGTAGCAACAGACGATTTCCCTCAGACGCAAATAAGTACATAAAAACGATGCCCCGGTTATTCCCCTAGGCCAACAATAAAACCCCCCCTTTTTGCTGTGCATGTATGCGTGTTGCGTAGTAAAGTGTGTAGAAGTCATCTGCGTTGATATATGCCGTAATCATAACATTGGCAGCCATTCATGTCTTAATGCCTCTTGGGGCATACCTTGAATGAGCCTTGTACTGTACAAGTGAGGAAAGATATGAGAGAGTGACGAGTCGAGCATCAACCTCCCCAGCAGCTGGCCCAGAGCTGCCCATGAGAATTGGCGAGTTAGCTGCCATAATCGAATATTGAGCCACTCATTACAGTATTGTGCTCAGCAACTTGGGGGGCGGCAGCATTCTTAGTGGCGTTATCCAGCGTGCTGTCTAGCTCTACTCGAGCGGCTTCGAAGGTAGAACGGACCCATTCACCGAGACGATGCTTCTCCACATGCTGATGGAGAATCTTGTCCTCCAGCTTCATGATATCGATCAGCTTTGTCCTGAAAGATGTCTCAAAATCGCGGAACCGGCGGTCGAGGTTCTCGGTAAAAGCACCGAGAGCCTCGTGCGGAGATAGAGGTCGGAAAGGCTCATGTGGATCTTCTGTATTCAAGTCAGAATGTGTTCCCTAGAAGTTAGATAAACATTTCACTTACGGAAGCTGATGCAGTCGGTTAGCATTGAATAGAGCTCAGTCTCTGCCAATCTCTCAACCACCTGACGATCATCCTTGAGCTGTGTGTCGTTGATCTTGGCCCAATCATCGCGTATAAATAGTCTCCTCCAGATCATCCGCTTAGCCTCTTTGACCTCGTCACTGTGACAGCTACTCTCGGCGACCAAAAGAGCTAGCCAGAATGGATTTGGAATCTCAGCGCGGGACTCAGGCTTCAGGTAAATCATAGTCAGGAGGTCAATGAGTGTCATTGCGTCCAGGGCCTCGTGCTTTAGAAGCCGCCTCATGCCATCTTCAAATATCTGATGCTGGGCCTTCTGACGCCGTGGTATGTTCATGCTATGAACTTCCATTGCGAAATTAAGCGCTGCTGCGTCATCCACAGCATCGTATGTGCTGGGGAGAACCTGGTTATATAGTTGATCTTGGATCCTGATGGCAACTAACTCTTGGTCGACTTTCTTGAGTTTCTCCTCGGCACGGGCCTCGTCAGCGTTCACCTTGAGGCCACCCGAACCAGTTTTCTTGTCCTCGAGCTCAGCAAGAAGAGCAAGCTTTCCGAGACTTAACTCAATCTTCTTGTTCCACACTTGCTGTTCCTTGGTAAGTGCGAGGGTCACGAGAGTGTCTGCGCTATGACCGACGTCTTTCTCTTGCTGCACATCGTTGATCCACGATATTCGCGCCAGTTCAGGCTTGCTACGCAGAAACTGGGTCTTATAGCCCAACTTGTCGAGATCGAATTCCAGGACAGCCTCAACGCCGTGTTTTTGGAGCAGGAACTCGTATGCCGGGAATGCAAATGACTGGCCGTAGACGGAAAAGCTGCTCTCCAGCTTGGTCTTCTTGTTGTCTCTCAGTCGTTTAAAGGTTTGCCTGTCAACAAGTGACAAGTCTGGCTCAGCAAGGCGATCTTCGAGCATTTGGATATGATCCAACAAAATTATAGGGAGAGCACGGAGGCATTCATGCTTCTCAGCGATAGAGGCTCCCTCTTCCCACCTGCCTGACCGCGCTAGGGCAAGGGGCTTCTCAAATGAACTCGTCTTGTATAGCTTGGCAAATTCCTGCGACATGGTCTTCAGCTCAGGGCGCGTTGCTGACCAACGGGCATATTCCAGAACCGAAGTGAGCATCCCATCGACAAGTGTTGGCATTTCTTCGAAAATCTTGGACTTCACCTTATGGTCCGGCTGATTTGAAGCCCTGGCCGGTTCACCTGCATCTTGATCCTTAAGCAACCATTGATCTGCGAGATCGACCAGACGTTTAATGTTGTTGGCAACGAAATGAGAACCAGTCCATGGCTCGGGAAGGTCGTCGTATCCGTCGCGAAGAATACCTAGGCGCAGTTCTTCGAAACCAAGACCATAAGCGCTTAAGTTGTTCTTTCGGAAATCGAGCGCTGCGACATGCGTGCAAGTGTTGATTTGGATAGCTTCGTGGAGCATGGCAGTCAGCTTGGCCTCGTCAAGCAAATGCTCCCTATAGAGCGTCTTGATGACTTGATACGCCCAAGCTACAAGTATCTCGAGACGGAAAACATCCCGAGTAAACCAGTATCGAACTCGATCAACTTCACCAGCCTCAGCAACAGGGTTGTGTTTATCATCTTGGTGAATGAACTCGACAATATAACCAATAAGGCTCTTCTTGGCATTTGCTGGTCGTGATGTAGTGAAGGCTTCGTGTCGTTTCCAGAGCAATGTAGCCACATGCATCTTCTCGGCATCATATAACAAGCTCCAACGTGTCTTGCGATCGAGGTCTGCCCCCATAATCTTAAGCTGAGCTATCAATCTTTCAAGTGCAGTCGATCGAGCTCGGAGATTGTCCTCTAGCGAAGCTGGGAGAGTAGAGATAAAAGGAGTGTTTGAGCTCAAGATCTCGTGGCTAACTTCCAGTGCAGCGTGGGCAATTTCTTCGTTGGAAAATTTGATTTCTTGTCGTCCGTCGAAAACCAGAGGATTGTCTTGTTTGACGCCGTAGAAGACGGCCTGTTCGATCTTGCTCTTCGCAGAAACCTTCAGGGGCTTGTCACTAGCAAACTTATCCACGTCAGTTGTCACGATTCGCACTACGCCGGCACCTCGAACCATCAGAACCACAGCGGGATTCTTCGTCCTGGGTCGATGAAGTCGATGCTCTTCATGGCTAAGGGCAGGCGAAACTTCTTCAAACCCTGAGCCTATGATTTCGTGTACATCGTCTTCGCGGAAATCAACAACATCTTCGAAAGCGGCAGGTAAAATGTGACTGTCGGTTTGGAGCTGTGACTCAGGAGACTGTGGTGGGACAGCAATTGATGCGATGACAGTGGCGCGATCGAAGACGATGAAAGCAACCAGGGCAGGGCGAGGAAGATATAAACGTGGCCGTGCGGTCTCGGAGGGTGAGGATGGTGCACTATATGAGGTTATGGGACGAATCATCCCTATTTGGCATCCTTGGGGCGTCAGGATAGCTTCAACTAAAGCGTAGCGAGCCGTGCTTCGCAAAGTCAGGCTGACAAGTATCAGAAGATGCTGTACGGAGGAATCGTCGGTGGCCATAGCCTCGCTGAGCCTACTCAACTCAAGGTACTTGGATTCCAAGCCCTTTGGCACGTAAGTGAAATCAACTGCCTCGAAAGAATCATGGGGATATTCCTGAGATGCAGGATCTGTCTCCTGGAGCGCGGCGATGATATTTTCACGCACGTCTGCGTCGCCGATCACCTCGTTATGGCCTCCGCGGTGGACTCTCCATGCATGCAGTCGGCCTTTGCTGGTGAGGGCCACAATGTTTCTCTCGCCTGTTCGCGAGGATCGGTCCGCACGGACAGCTGCAACATCTCCTTTGAGAGACAAGTGTTGAAAAGCATGTCGAATACTGCCGAAGATTCCACCTGTGGAGGGCGACAGGCTGTTGCGGAGAAACTGTACAGAAATGGCAGGGCGGCCTTGGCCGTCACGAACATTCATGTAGGCAAGGCGACCAGAGTTGAAGGTGAGAATGAATCCGGCGGATTCGGCGTTCGTGATAGCCACAACCTTTTCCCCAGTCTGCATTCCCGATATAGTGTACTCGACTCCAGTCCGGTCCTTCTTCATGAAGACAAATGTAGCCGCGCTGGCAATTGACTCCCAATAGACGACTTTTCCACTACCTCCCATGACCACAACCAGACCAGGTTCCGCGGACGACGCAGACGGCGATACGAGGCATCCTACAGGAAGGGAATCGTTGGGTTTGGACGTTGATGGGAGGTTGAAGGAAAAGGTTTCGGGTGATTGCGATGTAGATGTATAGGGCCAGACAAGGGCGTGTGTTTGGGTGAGAGAAAGAGCATAGCCTGTGGAGAAGATGTCGGCAGTTTGGTAGGCTGTGATGATACGGATGAGTACGCTCTTGAGGACCAAAGTTGTGGTATTCAGACTTACGTGACCAATCTGTACGAATCCTGTCAGGCAGAGCTGGGAGTTTGCTGACGCTGTATGCGTTTGTGCTTGTCTGGATAGTCTCACTGTTAATATGCAGCATCATCGAAACAAAGAAAACATCAATTCTTACCAAAACAAGACTTCCGTCGCCTTTGTTAGCGGCGCGGTCGCCATGCTTTGCCTTCTTCGCGCGAACATTCAATTCCTTGCGCAGCACTGGGCTGGGGCTCTCAGGAGGAGGCTCGATGTTTTTGTTTTTGTTTTTGGCGGGCAGAGTTGTGACCTTGGCATCGGTCTTTACCTCGATCATTTCCTGCTGGGCATCGGGGTTGACAAAAGTCTGCTCTGTCAAGGGAACCCTCTGTCTCTTGGCTTTTGGCTGCTGAGCGACATGTTCGGAGCTCAAGGGACGTTGGCGGCGGCGTGAACGAGTTGCCGTCGCAGGGCCACCCTGAGCGACAGATGGAGAAAACATTTTGGGTGGATCGCAAACTGGACACGGAAGAGGTCGATGTCGATGGTTGTATCTTTACAAAGAAAGAGGTCGCGAAATAAAACGTGTGGTGTTAAAATGGCGATGGAATCAGCCGCGTGGTCATAGAGGCATCTTGCGGCGTCAACGTGACGGATGATCGTGATGGATCGTTGACGTGAACGGAAGAGTGTGAGCGGTGGACTTTGTGATGGATGGGATGGATGGAGAGAAAACTGGCGCGGCCGATGTGCTGGTCGAAGCCTGTAGAGAGCAGTGACGAAGCGTGTATCGGGAGCCAATCGAACAAAAAAGCTGGCTGGTTAACCTAGCTACGGAGTCTGGCGCGCTATGATTGGCTCAAAACTGGACGGTGCTTTCTCGAGGTGTGCTAGAGCTGCTACTATGAGCTGGCATTGCCTTGAAGCCCCCTGAAAGCTTCAGTTGGTCCGTCCCACAGCTACCAATCAGAGCCTTCATGTCCAGCCGCTAGTCTTATGTACCCCACTGGAGATCGCATGCAGAAGGTTTGTTGCAGAGCCTCTGTTTAAGGTACCTTTTGGCTTGTGGTACCTTACCTTAGTCAGAGCTGAGCTCGAGACAGCGCCTTGCGCTCAAGTATTTTTGGCCTCTCGATACATTCATTCTCATGTACTCCAACTCGACCTTGGGTTTGTGTGCAAACAACCATCATGAATGAATTGATTCTTTCTATTCGGGTCACAAACGCATCTAATCAAATTATAAAGGTTTTCTATTTTTTCCCCTTTTTACTGATGATTTCCTTGCGAACATCCTGCTATCTTACTACACACGGAGGACCTTGATGTAGTATACTTTGCTGGGACATTGTTACAGAAGAAGTCTTAGGGACAAAGAAAGCTTGAGACCTCAACAGGGGATGCCGAAATAGACTTCCAATTTTCCAATTTTATAGTAGTTTAGCTAAGTCTTTCTGCCATTTGGGGTCAATGTTCCTGGTTTCTTATATCCCCTGGGTCAGGTAGTTTAGGTATCAGGCAGGTCACTGGTAGTCTCATAGGCAGGGTTCGCAATTATGTCTTTCACCAAACCATGCTGTGATTAGATCTGGTTATGATGAGATGCCTTGATGAAGATTGCAGGCATAGTAGATACAGTGCGGTTCTTGATGTTATGGATGCATATACCTAGAACTTTTTGAACTGTCTAGGCTGTCCGGGATATACCGTCCTCCATTGTAACTCTTATGTCTCTAGGGTAAGGCACCTAAATTTAAGTCGATGATGCACATGGCTTTTCCGATCTGATAACGGCCGAAACGAATAGATGATCGTGAAATTCACCAATCGCCACATGGCATAACGCCCAACGGTTTCATCTTCACTCCAACGCACAGTTTCCAGGTAAAATTAAAAAGGTTATATCTCTACCAACGTCTGCATCCACAAGATTAAAGCCTCAATCTCCAGCGAAACCACGTGGCCAGCAAAGATCCTGTTAAATGCCTACCCTACGCCGAACCCGCTAGATCCATCTACTTATTAGCTCATCATTCAACCTTCATGGTGACAGGCTGATAAAGACCTGAAAATGAGACGGTTTTCCACAGCGGTAGTCATAACTGATCCACTCGTCAAGTATCAGGCTCATGTTGCCGCTGGCCTTTACGCCCCTGACCCGTCTCAACATAGGCTCGCACGGCACTTACACAAGATATACAACCGAATCAAAGACTACACTCCCCAGGCAGAGTATCGCCAGCGCCTGAATCAGGTAGCCCGCCTTACAGAGGCAAAGCCCAAGGAAGAAGTAAAAGACGATAGTGGAAATATCCTTGCGTTACGGAATCACTCGATATGGCGGAACCCACTGTTCAGGCACCTCCTCTCGACACCCGAAGGAAAAGAGAGTCTTGCTTTGACACGGACACTCACAAACCACGAGTCTGCCATCGAGATAGACTCACCTCGGGGATTATTCTTATCAGGAGAAGTTGGTACTGGAAAGTCAATGCTCCTTGACTTACTCGCTGATGGCCTGCCTACTGAGCGGAAGAGGAGGTGGCACTTCAATACATTTATGCTATACACTATTTCACAACTAGAGCAGCACCGAAAGACAACTTCTAGAGCCAGTGGAGGTGAAACAGACTACTCTATCCTATGGATGGCAAAAAAGCTGGTCGACGAATCCCCAATCCTCTTTCTTGACGAATTTCAATTGCCTGATAAAGCAGCCAGCAAGATTCTCAGTCATCTTTTCATCTCATTCTTTCAGCTTGGCGGTGTACTTATTGCATCCTCTAACCGTATGCCGGAGGAGCTTCAAAATGCAATTGGAGTTGATTACACGCCCGCACCGACAAGGGGACTGATTCGCAAGTTCTTTGGCAGTGCAGTTCGGGCCCGAGGGGAGCTATATGGATCTACCAGCGACTTCGCAAACTTCCTTGAAGTTCTGAAGGCTAGATGCGACTTTTGGCAAATGGAAGGAGCTAGAGATTGGCGAAGAAGGGAGGAAACGATCAGTCCGCAAGCTGTGACTGGAGATGCTGTCGAAGGTGAAGCCGGCGATGAAGCCGGCATGCAAGAAGTGCTTACTCAGGACAAGTCTGAGTCTGGAGCAAAGAAGCCAGTCAACTATTACCTATCCAAAGGTGAACAGGACCAATGGCGAGAACGAGTCGAGTCGGCTGTGGCGTGGACGGGGCCTCAACCATTGCCATGGGAGCCATCGATTATAGTGGTATATGGTCGACAGGTACACACCCCTAGACATTACAACGGCATTGTATTATGGGACTTTGAAAGCCTTGTGGAAACATTCGGCCCAGCTGATTACATCACAATGGCCTCTACTTACCATACCTTCATCATTGATAATGTTCCCATTCTCACGCACGCAAAGAAGAATGAAGCTCGGCGTTTCATCACGCTTTTGGATGCTCTATACGAAGCTCGCTGCAAACTGATAATCCGAGCTGAAAACCCACCAGATACTCTCTTCTTCCCAAAGATGAAGACCCCTGCGATTGACAAGACAAACAGCGCAAACGAGCTAGACAACCTCATATCCGAAACAATTGCCGAAGTCTATCAAGATCAAATGTCTCCATTCCGACCGAATGTTGCTTATTATGACACAAAGTCGAGCACCTCCTCATATGATCCCGACCAGGACTCTGATTTTGGAATACAAAAGAAGGCGGTTGATTTTGCAAACACCAGTGCTTTTACTGGAGAGGATGAGCGTTTCGCGTATAAGCGAGCAACCTCTCGTCTATGGGAACTGTGTAGTGCACAGTGGCATGCCAGGACAGGAGATTGGTGGCAACCACTACCTATCGAGGCTCGGCACTGGGAGGGAGGTGAAATCTCAAAGCGCCTTGAACATAAGATCGGCGCTAAGCGACTGAGCGAGAATGAAGGCATGGGCCAAAGTTTGGAGGTTGAGGAGATGGCTGGGTTATCAAAATGGAGGGTCAAGGATCTCATGAACTCCGACAAGAGAGCGTAGAGCAACACCACCCTGCTGAATAACACAGAAGATATGCATACAGTTACTCGAAAACAAACAGACATAACTCATTCCGTAAAAAATCAGTTGCCCATGCAAGAGCAATACCTAGGTAGTCTATGACCGGATATACCGTTATGCTAGACTCCAAAACGCCATGCACCTGTATCTTGCTTGGTCTACTCATACACTACCCATTCCAAGCTCAACTTAGAGGTTTGTAACGCCCGGGGTCCAGCCCTCTCCTATCCTCTTCATGTCATCAGCAAACTTGCGACTGGTGATCTTCTTGCCCCCTCTCCCGCCTAGGGGAGCATGCTCGTCCGGGTCATAAAATGGGTTCTGTAACAACTTGACATATGCATGCTGCATGGCGCGAAACACGGGCTTAAGCTCAGCGTCGCGTAGGCCTGCAGCAGCGCCCCGACTTGCAGCTACCGGGGCATTGCCATCGACACGCCGACCGCGCATATCGACAAGACAGACCATTCGGACGCCTGTGTTGGTCTCGAAGCCGTAGGCGGCAAGGCGGTCATCGACAGCGTGGAGAAGCCCAAAGTCTCCCGAGAGGCCAACCCCCGAGACTGCGTTGGTCTTTGCGCGCAGATCAAAGACATCGATGGTGGAAGAGAGCAGGAGGGAGAACTGGAGAGGTGTGCGAATCGGAGCAAACGTATTTGTTACTGGATCGAGCGAGGGGAAGATCGAGATATGGAGGGGGTTGTTCTGTGTGTAGCCATGGCGCGTCAGCGGATATTCAGTGAGAACCATAGCAATTTGGTGTTTTATACTAACATTTCGGCCGATAACGCCTAGGCAGGCGATTGAAGGTATTGCGGTGGACATGGTTATCACAGCTTGTTGACGAAGATGAAGGTTGAAAGAGGAAGCTCGGCTTAGTGGGAGCCTCCATGCTCGCTTGGTGCCTGCGGGCAACCTTAACTTGTAATCCCCACCAGTCTCTAAAGTCAACATAATGAACACTCTGTAATGCAAATGAATATTTAGATTGTAGTAGATATGAGATTCATTTCTGTTCTCAATACTGGAAATGTCTATTCTAGTTATAGTCCCAAGTTGGAAGCATGATGAGGCGGCTGGAGGCTGGAATGTCTCTCTTTAGTTCGATTGTCTGAAACCGGCCATCAACTGAGAAACCATTAATTATCCCCTACATACATGGATGTCTATTATTCTTCACAGGATGGGTAACTGAACAAAGTCTTCAAGTACGTATATAGCACTGCTTGGTACCCATATGTTTATGCTGTCAAAACAATTCAATAATCGTGAAAATTCATAATCGCTTGCTTGATGCAGCATATCCCACCCTATCAACACACACCCCGAATTCATAATAGGTAGTGAATAGTTCCCAATAAAGAACTATGTGACGACTCTCGAGGCTTGTTCAGCCGTCTCATATATCCCTGGCACAACCAAGCTCGTGCTTTTACTCCGAATACTCATCATCTTCCATGAGATTCGCCGTATCTTCAAGCCCCCTCAGAACCTCCTCAACCTCGGATGGATCTGTAATAGCCCATACGCCCCCTCCCTTCACAAGGTCCTTGCCACGCATGCCGACCTCTTTTCCGACAAGATTACGGCCGACCTTTCCAGGTCCGACGCCCACCCATCGTCGTATGCGCGCCTCTTGATCTAGGTATTTGATGCTATCCCACCAACGAACTGTATCCAGACAGCCGCGGGCCAGCAAATCCTTGAGTTCCTTCTTACAGCAGACTGGCCGCGCAGATACGTTGCTCACGATGGGCAATTTGCCTGGGAACGTCACAACGTTCTCCTTTTCGCGACCCTTCACCCTGCTGGGTTCTTCTAAGAGCTGGCGCATTACGGTGACTGCTGGTTGCATGATGGGACTGTGGAAGGGACTGTCGGCTTTGAGACGGACGGCGCGCGGGTCGTAGCCAAGGAATTGACGGACATGGGCGATAAGCGTCTTTATACGCTCGATATTTCCACTCAGTACAATCTGATTCTTGCTGTTTATGTTGGCTATCAAAACTTGTTCAATCGGTGGCAGGTCGGCCTGGTCTTCAGCTGAGATGTTGACAAACTCTCGAATGGCCTGAATCAGGCTGTCCATGTGTTCCGGGTGAGATATAACTGCCACCATGCCATACTCACCACCATACTTTTCAATCGCATGTTTCGTGGCGTCCGACATTGCCTCTGCCCGTTTACGAACGAGGTGTAAACTGTCCTGGAAGGAGATGTAGCCGCCCGCGACGACAGCGGCAAACTCACCCAGTGAGTGTCCCAGCGTCACATCAAAGTGGTCGGTGACTTTGAAGTTGAATTCGCGTTCGAGGATGCGCAGGATGAAGATGGACGTAGCCATGATGGCCGGTTGCGCATTAGGTGTCTCAGTAAGAACCTTTGATGGCCCGTTCTGAATTATGTCGGAGAGCTTGTAACCCATGTATTCGTCGATCTCGTCTCGTAACTGCGATGCCGTCGAAGGGAAAGCCTCGAGCCATGGATTCAGCATACCAACCCGCTGAACGCCCTGGCCGGGGAAGAATAGGGCTGTCCTGGTGCCGCCGCGATGTGTAGAACGCCATCTTTGCTGTGACAGTTGATGCTTTGGTTGTTGTTGCTGGTGTAAAGCCTGCAATGACGGTCGACTTGGGCTTTGTGGGAAAACGGGAGAGCGAACAGGGTTGGCTATGGTGTAAGTGCGACAGCACCGCATCGTGGACATCGAGAGCTTGTCCATTGCCGTCTGAGCGGCGGGGCAGAAGATAGAGGTCAGGATGGACAAGGTGAAGATCTCATGCTGAGGTGAAATGCGTAGGCAAGTGGGACACAAAAGAGGTCATAGGAGGAGAAAGAGCATCCCTACTTGCAATCAACGAAATAAGAAATCAGTCCCACGAGACTGATCACCCTTTGGGTGCCCCCAGGCCTTGGGCCCTCCTAGTCATCTCGGTCTAGGTCTGGGGTTCGGGAGTTTGCGTGACGTCGGGGTAATGTTAGTGGGACAGGGTACGTACTGATTCCTCGGAATTGGGGGAGTTCTTGAATTGTCATGAAAATCATCGGGACGGGTTTCCCCTTGGTCCATCCAATCATATCGCGATCGCATTATCCGGTTGCGTGATGCTTGGGGTTCCGGGGCTGCACCCACACTTAGAGCCGATGCCCCGACCTCATACGGCTTCGGAGCTCCGTCGCTCCTTGGGAGGCTCTCCGAGACGATACTTCCTAAATTTCCCTTTCTTCACTCCCGCGGCAACGAGCCGTTGCATACTGTACATACAGAAAGAAGTACGACAGGACAGGTACATGCGTTCTTTTTGCTTTTGTCATGACTTCTACCTCTTCTCCTATTGGCCCGCAAGTACGACTAACAAGACACCTGGCTCAGCACAGCATCTTTAAGTCTATTGTTCATGTTTGTGTGTTCCCCCTTCTCCTTAATTAACATCGTATTTCCACACCTCCCTTGCTGATTGTCAAGTATTTGACACCCTTGTATGGCTTGACACTATCTCCCAGGCCCTTACTCTTGCGTGTGTCGAGTTGAATACTCTCGACCTTCAGACCACTTGCCAACCATCCCTTGACCGAGAAGCTTACTGAGGCCGATGTGGGCATCAGGATTTTGTTCTGCGCGATCTTCTTGGCGTCCTTGTCGTCGCCTGTGCTCTCCGGGTTCTGCGCCGCCTTGGCAACAGGTACGCTCTGATATGGCCCGTCAAATGCGTAGTCGGTTCCAAATCCAAACCCGTTAGGATCGAATCCCCCATCACCCTCCTCTGCCAGCGGCCCCACCACAGTGCCTCTGAGTCCAAAGTAGCTTGTTCCGCCTGAGAGCTCCTTTGCGGGAATGTACCATTCCAAGACTTTCTCTCCTGGATTAAAGCTGGCGTCGCCCTTGCTAGGCCGGATCTCAGATAAGTTCCTGACATCTGCTGGGAGCGGGATTGTCACAGTGAGGTCGTCCATCAAAGGTGCTCCCGGTGATCCAGGATGAGGCCCGCCTAATCGGCCTCCACTGCCTCCTCTTCCCAGTCCCGATGATGCTGGCGAAGGTGCTCCAAGAATCTTGTTGACCTGTAATCGGACTTCGAAATCTGACCCTGTCGCACCTAATCCTGTTTTTACTTCCATATTAATTGGTAACTTGGGGTTGTTGGAGCTGAGACTTCCGCTCTTCCCACTTGAAAAAGGCAGTAAGTCAACTTCATATCCTGCCAGGATAAATCTTCCATCAGGCGGAATGAAGCTGAGTTCGCCTGGTCTCTCTTTCCACCGGTTGAGCCGCACGCACGGGTGGAACACTGGCAGTTCCATGATGCCCCCGAGGTTGTGTTTTCCTGATGGGCTAGTGATATTAAGCGTAATATCAGGAACACCTGATACCTTTGAGGTGAATGCAATCGTTCCATTGGCAAAGGCAGCGAGAGGTCTTCCTGATGGAGCAAGCGTTACTGACAACGTTTCGACGATATCTGCGTACATCTCATTGGACGTGTGCCGTACGTTGGCTCGCCTCCACGGCAAAGCGGTTGAGTTCGAGGGCAGTATGGATGGTGTGCTTGAGTTCGAAAAATTGGCGCCCAGAGGAGCTTTTCTGGCCACATATTAGCTCAAATACCCCCCAAAGGCTCAATGGTTCACGAACCCTGGAAGATTGATGCTTCCCAGTAGTTTTCCAACCCAGCCTTCTTGCTCCACCACTTCACGTAGGGCATTCGGTTCTGTTGTGCTTATCGTACCAGCGTCACACATCTCCGTTAGGAGCTGGGCAACTATGTCGTAATTATTCTCGATCTTGACAGCCAGAAGTGGCGCGCCAAGAAAATCCTCGAATGCATCTATTATACGGTGTAGGAACTCAAAGACTAGCAAGGGTTCGATTTCGGTCGACGATGTAGCAAGAAACAAGAGGTTCGCGTGCGTCAGACTGAAGACGAGCGTCGGGGGGCTCGTATTGGGGAGGTAGATCAGGTTCGGTCGCGGTAGAGGGTGTTCTAGGTAGAGGGGCAGGAGATGGGTTGCCGACAACGGCCTCCCTGCGTAGGTATGTGATAGAATAGGGTTTCTGCGGGAAAACGTTATATAAGTAAGGTGCCTTATCGTTCAAACGCTTCTACGAGACATACCGGTTATCATCGTAAATGTGAAGTGCCTCAATAACTCCGTTCATGGTGATGACCTCCCTCGAAGTCAGTGCGTTAGACAAGGTAAGTACAGTAGCTTCGCTTTGCGCCGACGAGAGTCCAAGCAATGACGAAACTCACACTGAAACTCAAGACCCTAGACAAGCATGACTCAGCAAACAGCCCGAAATTCATCTGCCCATCTGCCCAATCAAAGTTTGGTATCACGCGGCCTCAACCTTTATACATAGAAGTTGAGATTAAATCAAGCGCCTGTTTGTACGAAAACACCCAGAATGTCTGACAAAATACCGACTGTTCAGGCTCTTGAGAAGCCAGAGAAGCTTGAAAATATCCTGCGCCAGGACAGAGGGGATGATTGTTTGCCTTGCAAAGTCGTCGGTAAGTTTTTGGAATTTGGCTGTTGCGATTTCTTGCAATTCAGAATAACCTAACATGATGATAGGAAGCGGCGCATTCTTTGGCCTTGGAGCTTACAGCTACTTTTCCGGAATGTCACAGCTTGATAAGCAAAAGGAGCTGATCCTACGGAGCAAGTCGCCATTCGGTATGAGAAGTCGCAAGTTTGGAATCACATCTATTTCGCTTGCTCTGGTGTGGATGGGACTATGGCGAGCTTTCAAATAATCAGGAAATACCTACAATACGAATCATGCAGCGAACTCATCTCAATTCCAATATACATCCCCTTGTATAATAACTCCCGGTGCGGCTCCCTTCGGCCAGCTCTAGCTTCCCAACTATCTTCTATTTCAGAAAATCATGTGTTAGTACTATTATGCAAGTGGTTGGGTGCATGTTTTGTCACCCAGTCTGCATTACTGCACGCGTACTATGCATAGGCCCATCTTCGTACACCAGTAATTAAAGCATAGGGAGCAAGAAAGGGGCAGAAGGGGCAGACATGATAATTCAATGGTGTTAAATAAAGTACAACATCTTACGGTACATACTGCGAAACTCGTAGTTTTGGTCATTTAGTGTCGAGTCACTAAGGCCCTAGAATTGGTTAATAAAATTAAACTCCCAAGAAACCGAACAAAACCTAGGTAAGGTAGTGACAGTTTACCAAATTACAGTAGGTTGTGTTAGGTCGTTGATGGGTTGACGTTATGTCGCTGGAGCTCCGTATAAGTTGCTGCGCTGTGTCCTAAAACACTAAAATCTCAACTTGAAAGCCCCACATCGAATCTTTAACCATACTCATTTATCAACCCCAAAAAGCGACGACAGAGACCGTGAGGCTCACCGACCAGAAACTACAGAATACATCTTGTTGTATACGAATACAACATACTGAAGGACCTCTTCAAAGCCTTTGTACGGTCATCTGGCCGTAACAGCTAGCTCATATCTTGCTTAGCCATCTCACCATCATCTCACCATGCCTATCACAATCCTCAGCCCTCAGTCTCCCACGCCTCGGAGACCGCAGGCTGTTGCAGCTACAAATTCCGACTCTGACTCCGACTCAGAAGGCGGTGCTGGTGTTGCGGCTGACGACATTCTCACTCCAGGCGCTGAGATAACTTCAAATGCCCAATGGATGCGGTAAGCTTTCAGCACGTCAAGCCTCACAATTGTTTATGTCACTAACTTCTTTTTCAGTGGACATGGCACTTACGTACCGTCTGGGTCATCGTCTATCAAATCTTCTCTTGCTGGCACTCTCACAAAGACAAACAAGCTGCTCTCTGTGCGGCCTCTCCGAGCCCGTTACACTCCGGAGATTGGTGACTTGGTCGTTGGTCGAATCGTCGAAGTCCAGGCAAAGCGGTGGCGTGTCGATGTAGCCGCGTCTCAGCTTGCCATTCTCCAAATCTCAGCCATCAACTTACCCGGTGGCATTCTCCGCAAGCGTACTGAAACTGATGAGCTTCAAATCCGCAGCTTCTTCGCCGAAGGAGATCTTGTTGTCGCCGAAGTCCAGCAGCTGCACCAAGACGGCGCCGCGAGTCTCCACACACGCAGTTTGAAGTATGGTAAGCTTCGCAACGGTGTCTTCGTCGCTGTCACTGGAACCGGTGGTGGCGGTGGTGTCGTTCGATCCAAGAGACAGGTATGGACAATGGATGTGGCCAACGCCGGCGGCAAGGTCGATGTCCTTCTTGGGGTAAATGGATACATTTGGATCAGCAAACACATAGAAAGCGACCCGGCCGCTGAGGCAGCGGGCATCAATCGTATGGAGGAGAATGTGAGCAGCAAGGTCTACTCGAGTCAGAATGACCCCATGGAAGTGTCGACCATGCGCGAGATTGCGCGAATCCGCAGCGTCATCCTGGCCCTTGTTGAGAACGGACTCAAGGTGGATGAAGATACAGTCACCAGAGGATACAGTGAGGCAGTAGATATGGCCCGTGATACTACTGACGACGACCTGTACCTGGGAGGCAACAAGGGACAGCACCTAGCAGTCGTTTTGACTGGCCGTTAATGCTTATATACCTATTCAAAAAATTATCTGGCCTATTGGCAATTTAATGCAAGATACCATAACCAACCTCTAGATTTACTAGACATGGAGTCTCAGTGTCGCGCAATATCAAGTTTTTATTTTATTTAGTTCGAAACATCAACACCGTCATCACTTCTATTAGGATGTACTTCAGGGAGTCCAGATGCCGCTATGATGCTTGACAGAAACTAAGATAGAACTATTGATCATTTTACATGTAACTGTACATACGAGGGTATCCTCCGCTCCAATTACCACCGTAACTGCTTTCCTTTTCTCAGCAAACATTGTTAGACCACCGAATCTTGGGGAGCCCTCTTGTTTTAGCAAGGTCTTCTCAAGTTATGTAACTGGCTAATAAGAGGGTGGCATTAACTAAATGATTATCGTGTGAGCAATTGGCTCAGAACACCTTTCTTTGCTTCCAGTATGGCGGCTGCAACCACAAGGACGGCCCACCTGAGAAGAGCGCCCTTGGACTTCTTTGATCCGAGACCGAGGACCAGCGCAAGGAAGTATGTAATTCCCTTTGTTTTGTTACCGTTGCGATCAAAGTTAGGCTTTGAGTCGGCAACAGCCTTCATCCGATTCATGACGGGCCACTGGTATGGCATGTATCGCACGCGAAAGAGGAAGTCAGCCCAGTAAGGGACTTCGGCGATAGTACGCTGATGGCTAAAAGTTCTGATAGAGTAGATGCCATGATAGTTGCCCATTCCGGACTGGCCAACACCTCCCAAGGGAGACTGTGGAATCTGAGAGTGGAAGAAGGCATCATTACATGTGGCGCCTCCAGAGGTAACATTGTCGAGAACTGCAACGCGTCAGGTATACTTTCAAAAAGGTTGGAGAAGTCAACGTACTCTTATTGTTCTCAGCCTTGCTTCCAAAGGCACTAAGAGACAGAGGTGTCGGGTCAACCGTATTAGCAATGTCGATGGCCTGGTCGAGGGAATCAACCGGCATCATTGCGAAAATTGGGCCAAACGCCTCTTGGGTCATCATACTGTCGTTGATGTCGTCAACAAGCACCGCCGTTGGCTCCATGAAGAGAGTAGATTCGTCCATGGAGCCACCGAGGACAATCTTGCCGTTGGTGCCATCAAGCATCTTCTTGAGACGGTTGAAGTGGCCAGCATTGACGATGCGGCAAAGGTCAGGGCTGTTTTTGGCGCCTTGGGGGAAGAAGGTGCGCATCTGGTTGTTGAGCTCACCCAAGAATTGAGAAAGAACACTTCGCTCGACGAGGATGTAGTTGTGAGACATGCAAACCTGGCCTGCATTGAGAGACTTCTGCCACAGAAGTCGTCTGGCGGCCAGTTTGAGGTTGGCGTTCTTGGTAACAAAGGCCGGGTTCAAACCACCGAGCTCGAGAAGCACTGGAGTCAGGGTTTCGGCGGCCTTCTGGGCAATAATCTTGCCGACTGCCTTGCCACCGGTGAAGCAAATCTTGTCGAACTTTTGCTCGAGCAGAAGTTGAGTCTCGGGCAAAGCACCATTAACATACGTGAAACATTCGGGGTCCAGGGACTCGTCAAAGATCTTCTTGAGCACCATGGCACAGTTGGGAGATGATTCAGAGGCCTTGAGAACAACGCAGTTACCACAAGCGATCGCACCAATGACAACAGGGAGGTTGAGCTGGAAAGGGAAGTTGAAGGATCCAATGTTGAGGACAACGCCGAGTGGTTCGAAGCGAGTGCGGTGCTTCATGGCACGGAACTGCAAAGGGACATTGGGGACAGGCTCATCGCGTAGCCATTTTTCCATGTTGTTGACCATGTCGATACATTCTTGCTTGCACCAATCAATCTCTGCCAGAACAGCCTCGTACTTGCACTTGCGAAGATCTTTGATGAGAGCATCCTGCATCAATTCAGTGTTGTCGACGATGGCCCAGTACAGCTTGCGAATCTGTTTCATGCGAAACTCCATGTCTTTGGTGCGGCCGGATCTGAAGGTCTTCCTCACGAGATCGACCTTTGCGGCGATCTCATCGAGAGGCGTGTGCTCCAAAGGAGCAATGGTATAGGATAAATTGTTGCCGGCCATGTTGATGAGTGAGTGATGTTGAAATGTGGTTGGTTGGCTGGATAGATTAAGTGCTGACGCCACTGCCTGTGCTTTTGGTTGGTGTCGCGCGTAGGACGGGGACGATGTATGTATGAGATCCCCGAGATGTGGCTTGTATGATGCGTAAATGTAAAAAGACAACTCCTTGTCTGAGAAGAGAATTGGGATGTTTTCAGTTGAAGGAGATTTGGAGATTTGGAACTTTTGGTGATGGATTGTGTTGATGAGTTTGAGAATGCGATGATAGAGGCCTCGTCCTAATTAATCAGGTTACCATGCCCCAAAGTCGAGATTTGGGTGGGTTCGTGGCTCTAGTTAGGTAGTATTTCTGCGCAGCCTCAATATAACGGTCATAGACTTTAAGCAAGACCGAGGCAGTTGCTGATGCGTCAAAGGCTAGGTATGTATGTATTTGTAGGTAGATGAGATGTAATAAAGAATATAAAGGAGCCAGGACAATCAATTCCAGGGGATGGGATCCAATGCAAATGAGGGGCTCGTTGTATCGAACCCCGGATCGCCTCCCTCGGCAGCCCATCCACATCCACGTGCTGAACCATGCCGAGGCACAGTGTCGTCAAGAGCTTCAAGACGTGGTACTACGTACGTAGTAGTCTAGTAGGTAAGGTACCTAAGGTAGGTAGGTAGGTATGGGATGAATCATACTGGTTCAATGGGTGACAATGACCATCAAATGCATTCTCTTAGCTTCAAGTCGGTGCCCGCGCGCATTTTGGGTCCTGCACGCTCTAAGAGCCACCAGCCCTACATCAGGTACGCCCGCCGCCTGTAACTTACTAAGGTAGTGCTAGTCCGACGGCCGAATCTCTCTTGAATTCAGTAGCTCTTCCAGTGGCTGACGTATAATTAATAAAGTCGACTTCAATATTATCATTGGACTTGGTTATCTCTTCTACCACTATTTTCCTCGGTATGCACGGCTCGAATTAAGTTGATACTTAACGTTATTGCTGCTGTGTTACTCCGTACTTTAAACCCTTCCTTTTAGTGTAACACATTGCCACCAACAAGTATAACGCACATCTCGCATGGTAGGTCTGAAACCGGCATGGGGTGTTTTTTGGGCTTTGCCTAT